ATATATATATATATATATATATATATATATATATATATATATATATATATATATATATATATACACACACACAGTATATATAGATTTCATGAATTAAGGGACAGTGGATTTCATTAAAAAGCAGCATAACTTGCACTTTCTGCATGGTTTGGATGAGTTAGTGGTTTCAGTTTCAAGTCCAGGCAAGCCAAGTGGGCTTTACTGTCATACCTTCCATATACTCCTGTAAGCCTACAGTTGCACAAAATAACTTTGCCAAGATCATGATGCAACATGCAAACAAGTGACAAATGGAGTGTTTCCTAATATTTGAAGCTCAAGAAAATAAAACAAAACTGCTTCAATGAAGGTCTGGACACAGGGGGCCTGGACACAGGGGTTTACACAATGCACGTGATGTACATACATACAGTAGTGCATTGAAAGTTGTATGTTAAAATAAATAATGCAGCAGCACAAATGGTGGAATAAATAGTTTCAGTTCATTGATAAAAGTTTAAATGTATAGACCCCCTTTTGCAGAAGTTGTGTATTGACCACAGTTTAATTGGCTATTGGAGACCACATTGATTGCTTATCCACACAGTCAATGTATGAAGACATTATAATCTCACAATGAAAACTCCCCTTGCTACAAGTGAGATATATTCCCTTAATCACTGGCTGTTATTTAACCCATCCTTTGCAGTGACCTGAGTGATTAAAACACATTTAGCAATTTATTAAGATCACACAGGGCCCTCCTAACTTAAGAGACTTCATTTGCAACAAGGTTGTCCTGAACAGCAAACAAACTGGGCAGTGGCAATGCCTTTACAAATGAACAGATGGTGTGAAATATGGGATGGTGAATGGTCCCAGTGAAACCCAAGTCATTTCTGGTGTGTTAATTGTTTTGTGGCTGCACCACGACGATCAAAAATGGAACCAGCCATGCAAGGGTCAATTCCTAAGTATGATGGCATGACACGGTCATGTATTCATAATGAAGCTGTTAATCCTGAAGGTAATGTTTGCTATCTAGTTGAAACATGAAGAAGAATTAAGGGCACAAAGATATCCAGGCACCACAGTGGCCTTTCATCACAGAATTGAGTAATAGTAATCAGAGACGCTGCTACAGATTTTGGGCCCCATGAAAGCTTATCATATTGGGCCCCCAACCCAGACCAATCCAATTATGTTCCAAATTGTTTAGGGCCCCTGCCACTTGTAATCATCCTAACTTTCCCTGTCTTTCCGGCGCCCTTTAGCAAGTTACCTGCTTATTTGATTAACCACTTTTCAATTTTGTTCCTGCATCCAATGTACCAGGAATTCTATGACTGTTCTATGGTTATATTTGTTATTTTCAAGTTAGGAGTAAGAAAACGTAAGAAAAAAACAAGCCATTATATATAATATTGTCATGACCTGCTCGTATAATCCTCCTGTGTGCCACGCCGCCTGATTTACCTCATGTGAAACCCCAATTGTGACCAGCTGTTTCCTGTTATTTCGGCTTGTCTTGTGTATTTCAGTCGACGTTCAAGTCTGTTTCCCCAGGTCTGTCATTGACGTTTTGTGCCATACTGCTCGTTCTCCGTTAATAAACCTTGTTTGCCCGTATTCACGGGTCCACGTGCCTGTTTGCCTGCTCACCTGAAACGCGCCGTGACAGAATGACAGACCTCCATGAGAAAGTACCCCCCCTGACCGAGGACGTTTACCTCGGTCTGGTCGATGAGGTACTGCACTGGATTGCTCAACCCAAAATTCTGGAGGACTTGGCGCTAGAAGAGAACGTGCACCTCGCTGATCAAGTGTGCGAAAACCTCCGGCAGCTGTGGGGGAGACTACCCAAGCTGAGGACCGGGCTGACCCCGCTCGACAGCGAGCGGTTGTCAGATCTGCCGCTGGACCACCCCGGAAACTCCCAATCTCCGCCAACAGCTGCAAACTGGAGAAAGAAGGGGAGGGAAGTAAAAGATCAGAAGACGCGCCGACAATCTTTTTGGGGGTGGTCTCCCTCTCCTCTTCTCCCCCCGTCAGGTGTCAGGAGAAGCGCCTCCCGATCCTTGACCCGGGGGTGTTCATGCTGGTGGCAGACACTCCTGCACGGCTCCCGGAAGAGCCTGATCCGTCATTCGCCAGACAGTACTTCACCCTCCAAGGTCTATACTGGAGGGTGCTGGAAGATCTGGCTGTGCAGGACTCCCCGGAAGCAGCCCAGCTCACCGAACAGCTTCAGGGAGAGTTTGCTGCCTTCACCCCAACCTCTCCCCAGGGCGATTTGGAGAGGTTGGCAGATGGCATGAAGAGGCTGCTCCAGTTGAGGAAGGAGCCGGCGGCTGACGGCACCGCCACCTCTTCCCAGCAACCGTTGACTGCATTGCTGCCCGCAGCACGCCTCTTTCCAGGAATTTACCTGGCTCTTAAATGGGCCAGGTCAATAGGGAATGCCATTCCCCGGATCCCCAAGATCCTTAAAGGGGCAATGCCGACTACGGAGACACCAACCCTGGCTCCTGTACCTGACCCGCCTGATGTTCCTGTTCTGCCCGTTGTGCCTGACCTGCCTGTTCTGCCCGTTGTGCCTGAACTGCCGCCCACAGAGGCTCCAATCCCGGCGCCGCCTGCTGCTCCGTCCGAGGTCTCAGCGCTGCTTGTTGCTCCGCTTGAGGTCCCGGCTCCACCCGCGCCTAACGCTCCGGCCCCGGCTCCGTCCACGGCCTTTGCTTCGGCCCGGCTCTGGCCGAGGTTCCTCTGCCTCCGCCTCCTGCTCCCCCTGAGGTTCCTCTGCCTTCGCCTCCTGCTCCTCCTGTCCTGGTTCATGTCCCAGCTCCTATGACGCCAGTCCCAGTCCCTGAGGAGGTCCCGGACTGTCTGACCACCGCTCCTTCCCCCTTGGAGGAGGAGCTCGAGTGAGACCCCTCGGGGGACCTCCCTAATGACCCCAGTCGGAGGACTCCTCCGCCATCGCCCCAACAGGGTTGATCCCAGCCAGGTCCCCACCTGTCGATGTCCCTGAAGGGGAGAGGACACCTGCGCGTTTCCCGCCCGCCCTGTCCCCTGGCTCGCCCTCGGTCTCCTTGGCTGTGGCTGTGGGAGCGCCTGCGGGTCCTCCGGCTCCTGCTTGGCAGTCACCTGCAGGTCCCCCTTCGGTGACTTGTCAGCTGCCTTCGGTCCTGCCTCTGACGCCTCATTGGTTGCCTGCGGGTTATCCCGCTTCGACTCATCGGTCGCCTGCGGGTCCCCTCACTGCGGCTTGTCGATGGACGGCGCCTTTGCCTGCTGTGGCTGCGCTGTCGCCTGCTGCAGCTTCCCCTCCCTCCTTGCCTTCGCTGGGGTCCCCTCCGACTTCCTTCTTGCCTCCCCTGGTGCAACCTCTGACTTCCTCCTCGCCTCCTTCGTCTGTCCCTCCGGCCTCCTCCGAGGTCCCCTCCTGCTCCGGCCTCACAGTCACCTGCTGCCTCTGCGGCTGCCGCTTTCCTCCCGCTGGGGTTTCCTCGGGCTCCCCCTTGTCCGCCGTCTTGGTTTCGACCTCCCTGTTTCGTCCCTCCTGTCTTTGCTCCTCGTCCCTCTGTGTCTCCTGTGTTTGCTCCTCGTCCCTCAGTGTCTCCTCTGTGCACTCCTGGTCCTTTTGTTCCTCCGTTCTCTGTTCCCTCTGTCTCTCCTTTCTTGGTTTGCCTGTCTGTGTTCCCTGTTTTGTGTCAGGTCCTGTCCTACTTCCTGTCCCTGTGCCTGTTCTGTCATGACCTGCTCATAGGATCCTCCTGTGTGCCACGCCCCCTCTTTTACCTCATGTGAAACCTCGATTGTGACCAGTTGTTTCCTGTTATTTCAGCTTGTCTTGTGTATTTTAATCCGCATTCAAGTCTGTTTCCCCAGGTCTGTCATTGACATTTCGTGCCGTGCTGCTCGTTCCCCATTAATAAACCCTGTTTGCCTATATTCACGGCACCACGTGCCTGTTTGCCTGAAACCTGCCGTGACAATTATGGAGTATTATTTACAGAAAGTTCTCAATTGACTTGTTTACCTACTTGGAACTAGTGATAGGATTGTCATTTCATTTTGTTACAGGTGTATCAGGATCCATGACAATGTCATTATGAGACCACTAGAGTAATCCAAAAAGACTGAAATCAACTAGTTTAATATTTAACTGGATTAAGTACTGAATTCTACGGAAGCATAATGCGTTCACTTGAGAAAAAATAATTCTGCTCTGTTTTTCTCAATTAATGACATAATTATCTCGGAATTTCTGAATTAATGACAATTATCTCGGAATTTCTGAGATAAAGTTTTCATGTAAAAAAAATACGCTCTGTTTTTCTGAATTAATGAGATAGAGTTTTTATGTAAAAAAATATACATGGTCTGTTTTTCTGAATTAACGAGATACAATTTTCATGTCAAAGAAGTGTTGTGTTTTTCTCAATAAACCACAAAAACTGTCATTTCGCCTACTTTAGAGCTCGATTTCGCTGCAACAATGTCACTCATTAGATTAATCCAGTTTTATTTTAGTCTGGGTTTGAAACACTGGGAAATACTCACAGCTCTAAGTAACATAGATGGCACTGCTATTATTTTGACCCCGTACTTAAAAGCAAACAAGGCTCTGCTGGAGGCTTGGACTGATAGCAGTGGCAGCAACCGTAGTCCATACAAGTAAGAGGTACCAG